AAGCATATAGTGAAATTCTGGAAGACATACTACCATACTTTGAGAAAACACTATTAATAGGTAAGCATGTGTTGAAAGCAGTTTATAAATGAAACATTACAAATCTTATGTTTATGCATACAACTTATAAAATAGAAAAAAAATGCTATTCTTCCAATAGTATAGCATCACACTAACACTATATAGTTAAGGTTGAAAGTTTCTGTACATGTCCACTACACTTCCACAGCAGCATATGCCTTAGATATTCATTTCATACCTAACATATGCCAACTATGGTTTCACGGATTTGTACAAGTTTGAGCAGGCTAAAACAATCATTTGCTTTATCTATTTCACTATGAGACAAAGTTAAACAGTTTTAGGGAACAAAAAGTTTCATAATCAGTAAAGAAACATTAAATCTCTTTAACAGGAAGGAAAATGCTTCTAAGGACATGATATAATCCTACTAGATAGATTATACCCCTAGATACAGCATCTGTGGGAATTAGTTAGGAGCCTGGAGAAATACTAAAATAAATATAGAGGACCTAAATGATCAAATCAGTTGTAACAAGTAGAAACATTAACTGTGAATTACTGTTGTTTTTCTAGTGTAACGTCATCCAGCTTACTGCTTTGGACTACTCAGTGATGTTGTCACTATGTATTTGCTATTAGCACATATTAATATCTAAACAATACGGAACAGTCTGAATCACATAGAAATTTGGAAAATTAAGAGTGATTGTTTATCTAAATTTTTTTTTGTTCTGAATAGTGTAATAAAACTCAATTATTCCCTAGCTTCTTAGATAATTCAAATTAAACATGGTTGCCTGCAAATTCTTTACTAGAGGAAGGAAAAGCAAAGTACATATTGTTTGTGTTTTGCTGCTTATCTCCTCAAACATGTGCTTTGTCAATGAGAGCAGCATCACTCCAGGCATTTATTGTGCTACTTAAACATAAATGAACATGAGCAAAACTGATAGTTCAAATTTTGACAAGTGATTTTGTTGGTTTACTTTAAAACGAAAACAACCTACACAAAAACTAAAACCAAATGGGCACTTTGACAATCTGGACTAGAAATTTTAAGTTTGTTAAAGAAACTTAGACATGGAAAGCTGTTTCTAAAAAATATAAAATCATAACCTTTTTCTTACTTTGGCTTTTTATTTTTTTTTAATATTTGTGATAACTTCAAAGTAACTCCAAGTCACATAGACTTTGTAATAGAAATGTATCTGTAAACTATTTTTCACTTGAACATTTTCAGAGAATTAAAGATTTTTATTTTTAAAGCGCCAGCCCAAGTTTTCTAGCAGTTTAATTCTCAAACAGTATAATTTGGGTCTCCAATGAAGACGTAACTGGGTTCAGCTACTCTGATAGCCTTAACAGGACAGTGAGATTCAGAGAGAGCTCATTTCCTGAACATGGTAGACCTTTGAAAGAACCTATTATTTCCTTACCCAGTTATGCAGGGTACTGCCAGATCTCCACTACAAAAATCTTGCCGGTATTTGTAGACAATCGTTTACTACCCACGTTTAAACACTTTATGCCACCAGAGGCAAAGCAAATAAAAGTGAAAGTCTATTTACCTAAACAAACTCATAAAATTACACAGTTATGATGTATAGAAAGTAATTTCCTTAATATCCGATCTGAAAGCCAAGATAATTACTAATTCACTGAAAAACAGGAAACTCAATCATAAAGTATCTACCTGTTTAAATCAAAATGCAAATCTTTTAGTCTTTGAACACCAAGAGGTAAATAAAAAAGGCTTCCAAGTTCAAGAGGATGCTTGAAATGAAAGCTAGGGTTCAAAATTTTTTGTTTATAGTTAAGAGACTAAAATCATGTCACTGCAAAATTCTCCATGGCTTTTGGCACTGACATGAAAAGATTTTAGTCTTTTGGTCACGTAAAGCTGTTAGTAAATAGAACATTAAGTCTAAAAAGGGAGGAAAAAGACAGTGAGAAACTGAGGGAAAGTTAAGCTAACTACATCATATACAAATAAAGCATAGTTTGAAATAGAGTCATTTTCTGCTAGGGATCTGATGATATAAGAATTTTTTCCCACCACCCTTCCTTTTTCAAGAGGATCTGCTAATGAGAAATAAATCCTTTATATGTTACTGTGAGTGGTGTTGCCTGGCAGCAGCTTCGATTTAGTCTTCAATCCAAGTAATTAAGTAATCTCACAAGGAATAATCATATATGGCAACAGGGTAAAAAAGCGGGCAGTTCTTCCATGCACAAAAATTTCAGGAGAAATACCATCAATTTTAAAGATAACCATTAGGTTTCTGGTACTAGCACACTCTAAACCCTAAGTGTTGCTTTACACCATTGGTGACTAACAGTAAGTTTTGCAGTGAGGTTTTGTTTTGTTTTGCCTGCAACTATATACACATCGCAAAACTATTCTGCATCACATGATTTTAAATGAAATAAATATAAAAATGAACCACACAATCAACACATAACTTTAATACTCCACATTATTTATCTTGATCACAATGGTGATAACCTCCTTGTCAACAATCTTGTGAGTTGAGGAGTTGATTCTCATTCTCATATCCATCAGGCAGATATGCTCTCCGCAGCTGGTCTGACTTAGGTATGGAGCCTCCATTCTTCACGTGGCGAGATAGGAAAGCGCGAACTGCTGGGTGATCAGCCTTCTCAAGTGGGATGTTGGCTTCCAGGCACATTTTCACAAAGTCCTGGATAACACTGACTTTCTCTGTTTGCGCAGTACTGTTGCACTGAAGGGATGCAGTTAGGGGCCTCTGCTTCTTTCTCACATTCTGCTCTTCAAATTCTGCCTTCCTCTTGGTATGAGTCTTTGACTTGAGGTGGTCACTAATGGCAGACTTGCGAACGTGATTCAGAACCACATTGCAAGAAGTGCAGAAGAGTTTTCCTCCATCTTCGTGCAACTCACCTCCAAACTCAGTGACTCGATCTAGGGGAGTCACATACAAAGCAGTCTTAGAACGGTTTCGAGCAGGGGGTGCTGTCACGACGAATCGTTCCATTCTTACTTTGAATTAGGCTCTTTAAACACAAGAGAAATAAAGATAATTGTTATAACAATGGTCCATTTGGGAAGAAATTCACAAAGCAGGTATAAACACTGTTAGACTTAAGATTTCAGAAAACTTAATTCAAACTGGTAGACTGCATATATTAAGTATTAATTTACCTGAAAAAGGCAAACTAAACTCCTACTAACAACGAGGTTCATTCCCTTGACAAAATGAAAATACATTAGATCTATTAAAAAAGAACTGCAACTGTCCTCCATGTCACTACTGTTTAAGAAAAACTAATCATGGATTAATATTTATTAATTATATTAACATCATCCACTTTAGATATGTATTGAAGCTTAAAAGAACTTCTTTCCCCGTTCATCATTCTGGAGCAATTGTTTATAGGAACACAATTGTAGCAAATTGTGCAAAAATTTGTTCAAATAGGAGGGCCACTAAACTGCTTAATTCTACATGAAGATGAATGTAATTACCAAAAATTGTTCTGAGAAGATAAAAAGTGAGAACTACAAAGAACACAACCTGAGTAATTAACAGCAGCACTGACATTAAATTTTAAAGTCAAAGTATAGAACTCAAAGTTCTCTTTCAATGCAAATATAACTCTTCTAAGTTTTCAAAAAGTTGATAATCAAGAGATGCAAAGTGTTTTCTCCAATTTACCCCCCTTTTTCCATTAAAGCTTTATAATTACATTTGTTAATACTTTACTTCGTAACTTATAAGTAGAACAAAATTAAGCACTTAATACAGTACCTACTATATAGTAGACGCCCAATTACAATTTGTTCATGAATAAGTAATTATCTTCACTACTTTTCCATGCATTTAACTCAGAAACAGCTTAATATTTCTCAATTTAACCTAGTAAGCTTTATGAGCACTGTCAAAATCATGCTTTTATGGCATTGAAAACTTGAGATACAGAACAAAGTTGGTCAGAAAAAACTGTGCGTTCCCTGGAGTCATGTCTTTGGGTAATAAGCACTTATATTTAGATATAAGAAATCAAAATGAATTTGACAGAATTCAAAATGAAAGTCTGTACTATATAAATATATTTGAGAAAATTTCCCAAGTGTGCTCTAAGGAATAAGGCTTTATAAACATCATCGGAAAAAATGGCATATTCTGTTAATCTATACTAAGAATTAACAGCTGGGTAACGTGAAACTGACACCTGTGGACATAAAATACTCAGGAGAATTTAACATTTCACAGGAATTCTGTAAACTATGACAAAGTTTAGCTTTTAATTCTATTTTTCTTTTTAATTTCTTTAATGCATGGCTCTCATGATAAATACTGTTAGATTAGGGTTTTAACAGCAGATGAGACAAATATGATTCCTCTCAGTGAGCAGTGAATTACTATTAGACATATGCAATTTAAATTTACAGTATGTTTTATACTGCTATAGCAAATAAGTTTCAATTAAGATTAGTAACCCTAATTACAAAAAATATTAAATGTGCCCAGTAATGCCTAAATCTATGCGAAGTTTTACGAATATTTGGATTTCAAACTTGCAAATAACAAACATGCATGTAATTCTTCGAAGCAAAAAAATGCTCAATCACTTGTGTTAATGTGAAAGTCCTGTGACTCCCCTGTCTAGTGACTTTCAAAAGTTTAAGTTACTGCAGAGGCTAATATCCCCCCAGTAGAGGATGCTCGAGTTTACAGATCCCAACGAAAGTGTTTTCAACAAAAGGTAAAAGATATTTTAAGCAAACGAGTTGGTCAGAAAGTTAAGACCATTGATTAGTCAACGAAGGCATCTAAACCGAAATAAAACGCACTGTAAAGTTTTCAAGTTTAAATGTTTACCGATTTCGTTTCCAGTTTTTTTCCTCTTGGTACTCGGGAGTGAAGAGACTGCAGCTCAAAACCCGAGGCGCATGAAATCCTGGCACTTTCCGTTCAAACTCGGAGATGCCTTCAAATCAGTTTTTCAACAAGTGGTGGTGGGGAAAGAGTTTCTGGGCTTGCACCCTATTTTCCCTGCGGTGCCGGGAAATCATGCCTTTACTGCGAAACACACACACACACACACACACACACACACACACACGCAAAGAGAAAATGGGGGAGGGGAGGAGCGGGAGGGGGTGAAAGATGAACAAGAACGTCAACAACAGGAACCGCGCAGGTGTCTTTTAAATCGCTCCGAGGTCACGCCCCGCCGCAGCCCCGGCCCCGAACGCGGACCCCACACCGCTCGCCCCGTCCCCCTCAGCCGCGCGGCCCGCGGCGCGCCTCCTCCCGCGCCGCGGGCGCCCGGATTCCGGAGGGGGCGGCCGGGCCGGGCGCGGGACGCTCGGGGCGCCCGCCCCTCTCCGCCCGCGCCGAGCCCAGCACGCCGGCGCCGCCGCGCCCCGGCCCCGCCAGCCCCGGAGGCCGCGTCCCCGCCGCCGGCCGCGGGCCCGGAACTCGACGGCCGAGTTGGCGGCAGCCTCGGGGGAGGCGGCGGCGGGCGCCGGCGGGGGCAGCGGCTGTCAGGCTTCCCGTCTCCTCCCTCTTCCTCCCGCCGACAACGGCCCCGGCCCCGGCCCCGCCCCGCCCCCCGCCTCGGGACGGAAGGCCCCGGGCCCGGAGCCCGCACCAACGGCCGGGCCCACCCTCGGCCTCCCGAGTTCTCTGGTACCGTAGGAGCGGGGCGGCCGCTAGGGGAAGTGGACGAAACCCGGTCGAAACGGAAAAGAGGAGGAAAAGGAGGCCCAGGCGGGTGAGGTAGGAGGAGGACCCGTCGCCGCCGCCGCCGCCGCCGCCGTTGCCCGAACGAGCCCCGCGGCGGCCGCCGTGTCCCCCGCCGCGCCCCGTCCTCCTGCACCGCCTATGGCAGGGCTCGTAGGAGGGCCCCAGCAACCGCCGAGGAGCATTTGACCAACGGACCGCGGGGCTAGCAAACAGACGGCCGACTTGACCAATGGTCGTGCGAGGGCGGGTAGGTACATGATTGGCGGCTGGAAAGCTCCAATGAAAACTGGGGGCGTGGGTGGGCGGAGCCGGAAGTAGAGCTAGCCGGGAGGCCCCTGTCCGGCTGGGGCGGAGGAAGGGGGAGGGAACAGGAGGAGGAGGAGGAGGAGGTTAGCCGAGGCAGCTACGGCGGCGGCGGCGCAGGGGCTGGTACGCGCTGGGCGGCGAGAGCCTCATGGCGGAGGAAGAGAGCGACCAAGAGGCCGAACGCCTCGGAGAGGAGCTTGTGGCCATTGTGGAGTCCCCGCCCGGCCCTGCGGGGCTTGGGGCTGCGGGCGACGGCAGAGGCGGCGCCGGCGGCGGCGGCTGCGGGGACGGCGGCGGCGGGATCAGCAGCCGGGATTACTGCCGACGCTTCTGTCAGGTGAGGCGCCGCCGGCCGCCGCGACTTGTCACCCGGTCCCGGGCCTCCCCGTGTCTCTCGGCCCCCAGGCCCCCGGATCGGGGCTGTGTCGGGCTCGGCGTCCGCCGGCCCGACGCGCAGAGCGAGGGTGAGGCGCCCTCCTCCACCTCTCCGGCCCGGTGGGGGGCGGGGAGCGGGACGGGGATGACCCCGCGTTCGGGGCTGCTGAGAAAGTGAGAGTTGCCGGCGACGGCCGGCGAGGGTCTGCTGGCCGGCGAGCTCCGTGCTGACAGCCACCCCTGCCCCACGCGGACCCCTTTCAGCCGGGGGGTCCCGCCTTTCTCGTGTCGCCTACCCGGTTCCTTCTCCCCTCGTCTGGAGTCTCTGGAAACATTTCCTGCCTCCCCTTCTCCTCCCCTTGCCCCCGGTAGTCTCCCCTTTTTCGGAGATGGGAAGTATGCCATCTCTCTGTCGCCCCCTTTCCTGTCATCGCCACCCCTCCCCCTCTGCTAGGGTCTCCTGTCATCCCCTTAAGACATCCGCGGGGCCGATCCTCCATTTGGATTAGGTGCTGCCGGGGGTGATTTAGTTACTTTTTGGAGACACGGGGCTGTGGCAGCATGACTGTCATCGTTCCTTTTCTTACCTCCGTGCTCTGATACACGCACTCTTTTTTTCTAATTAATTGCTCATAGAGAAAGTTCTTTTTCTTAAACTATTGCTCCACTTACATCACCACCCCCCCCCACTCAGTTTAAAAATTACAATGTATTTTATTTAGCCTGTAAAACACAGCGTCCCCACGGTTTATTATTTTCTTTACTTGATTGACTGCCACTACGATTTAATGTATAATGTTTGACCATAATCAAGGGTGATAGCAACTAAAGTTCCTGTCTAGGGGTCAAATCTGTGTAATCTGCATCATTCACATCTACATACCTCTGTAGCTTAGAGGTTTTGTTCTCATTCATAACACTTTTGTCTTGCCAACTGTTTTAGCTATTTCTTTTCCACTTCATTTTTAAAAACATTAATTGCTTATCATCTTAGATGTATCGGATTCAAATTCTGGGTCCACCACTTCCTAGCAGTATTAACTTGGACTAGTGACTTAACCTCTTTGTGCCTTTCTTTTCAGTCAAATAGGGAGAGTAATTAAATGAATGACTATCTAAAGGGTTTGGATTCTTTACATATTAAAGTTAGCATTTCATTTTGGTAACAAGTGGGAAATAATGTTAGTAAGGAATGGGCATCTTGTTTGCTGAAATTTATTTTTTATGCCATCCCAAACTTTGAAAGAGAAAGGGTGGAATTGACATTTTAAGGTAAGTTAATGCTTTCGTTTAAATTGTCTTTTGATTTCATCACTCCCCCATAGATAAGTCATTGTCTTGGTACAAAGGGTGTGCCCATTTTCTTTGGCACTACTCTCTATATAGTGACTTTCTTGAAAATGTATTTTTATCTTTGGTGTTAGCATATACCAGATTTAGAGGTTCAGTATCTTTGCAGTACTTTTCATGGCTGTATCTTTCACATCTAGAAACCAATTATTGGTAGATTGTGGATCTACTGAAATTTTAAACTAGAAAATTAGGGCACAGTGGATCTTTTTTCTATATTCATGGACGGAAAGTCTTGTTTTCCCCATGTTGTGCTTTTTATGTCATTAATGAGCAACTTGATTTTGGCTACACTTAACTTTGTAAATTTACTTGATCTGATAACCCTTAATTGCTGTAAAATTTAAAATTTTGAGGACCAGAACATTTTTGGAAAACTTGTAGCTACTCTTATTCTATTTAATGATACCAATTTTAAGAACAGATGAACAAATTTAGCATGTGAATAGTGTACAGTGACAATAAAGTATTTGAAGAATAAATGAGGTTGATTATTTGATAAAACTGCTACCTTCTAAATACCCAAGGAAATAAAACTAAACTTAATGAACTTTTATATTCCTAAATTATGAATGTTATACTGAAATACTTTAATGTTAACAACTATTACCTGAAACCTTATCACATGTTTTATAAATACTCTAGATTACCAACAGATTTGGTTTTAGGGTTATTGTCCTGGTTCCATCTCGCAGGTCAGCTTTGTGAAGTCTTTTTTTTTTTTTTTTTTTTTTTTAATTAAAACTTGGAATTACAGATTACCTGTATGAAATTGAATTTTATCCATTGATTAAAATTCTAGTATAGTAGTTCTGCTATATTTACTAGTAAAGAAAGTATATAATCTCCTTCTCCTTCTTTACTAGTAAAGAAAGTATATAATCTCCTTCCCAAAATTGTTTGTTTTTAAACATCTGATTTCCTAATATTTACTAAGGGCAATATTAAGTAGTGTGCATTCATTCATAAATTATTTAATATTGAATAAACCATTAAGTGTATAATATGCACTTGGGTAGGTGATAGTTAACTAATAAATTATACACATGGCCTTGTGACATGGAGAATAAAGATTCCAATTTATCTTCCTTCTCTTAGAAAGAAATATGAATCAAGATTTCTTGGTAGTTCATTTCTGGGTGAAGGGAGTGAGGAAGGAATACTACTTTTCAAGAGGGGTTCTTGAGTCTTACCAAAAGAAAAGTAAGACAGAACACAGTAGATAATATAAGTGATAAATTACACATGCAACTTAGTGCATTTTATGATATACATTCTATTTGAGAAACAATACCAGGAATTTTAAAATCTCAAACTAAGGGAATAGTCTCTTAGGCCTCAGTTGAATTTTGAAATGAGTGATTTGAGAGATTGAAAGTGTTGATTTCCAAATAGTTACATTCTGTAATTTTGGAAGAACTGCCTCTGTCACATCCTCCTTTAAGTCTTATTGGTACACTCTCAACAGATGCTTAAACAGAATAAGCCCCTAACTGATGGTAAATTTACCTTGAGGAAGGGGAAATACATTTTTCATGAGGTCCTACAACTTCTTTAGGCCTTCAGATAGGTCTTATTATGCAAGTTACATAGTTGAAATTGAGACTTGAACAAATTAACTTGTCTTCAGTTCTAGTGGGTAGACAAGCTGGGATTTGCATCCGGCTTTCAATTTCTACTGAAAGGCACATTGAAATTACAAATAAATCCTCAAACAATTATGAAGTGATTTTTTTTGACAGGTTATGCAAAGAGGGAAAAAAAAAGTTACTGGAAGTACTCAGGGAATCATGAATTGGAGATACAAAATTATTCTTTCTGTGTGCCACAGTGTAATAAATATTTCAAGAAACAGATAATGATTATTTCTCTGACTTGTTAGATACTGTGAACATTTCCCCAATTCCTGAAGGTTGTAATAAGTCAACATGTTTTGATGCTAGATACGCTGAAAATTTTTGATTATAAGTTGATTGTAAACTAAAGAAGTTAAGGTGCTAGAATGAATACAGTATACGATAAAAAAAGCTTTTCTAGAAACACTTGATATGTTGTTTAAAATAAACTTTAAAATTGTTTTTTGCTACAACAGGGTTAATAATAGTCAGGAGTATAAAATGAGAGAATGAAGGTAAAGTGCTCAGTCTTATACCTAATGCACAGATAGGCTTAAATAGAAGAAGCTACTAGTAATTCTTTCATGTGAAATCCTCTGAAGGTTTAAGAGGGACATTAAAGATAATCTTATTTGTAGGTTACCTACAGTTTATATCCCATATTTTACAGAAACTTTAGAAATGTTACAATTATAAAATTTTGTTATTTAACTAGAAAAATTGAGGGACTCTGATGAAGCACTAACTGATTTACGAAAACAACTAGATTTTCTCAGAAATTTTGTCTCCTGCAGGGGACATTTACAATATCTGGAAATATGTTTCATTGCCATAATTGGGGGTTTGCTACTAGCATCTAGTGGATGGAGGCCATGGATGCTGTTGAACATCCTATAATGCATAAAGAATTATCTGGTCAAAATATCAGTGCTAAGTTTTCCCAGCTGTATCAAGACTTTGGAACTTTTAGCAGATACTTGTGGTGTAATGCTGATATAAATGGCAAATAGTATTTAATGATCCTTACATAATTAATTAAAACAGCTAATATGTATCCAGCACTAGAATAGGTACCTAAGAGATAAAATGGATTCGCCTTTTTAAATTTTTTTTTTTTTTAAGATTTATTTTTTTTATTTATTTATACAAGCACTGGGTACAGTGAGAAGCGCGGGAAGGTGAGAGAATTCACCAGAGCCAGAGCGGGGAGCAGAGCAGGCAGAGGGACCGAGGCACGCTGCTGAGGGGAGCAGCGGGCGGCAGGATAGGTCCATGCGCCATGTGGGACCCTCCTCCGGTGGCCAGGATGCAGCCAGTGATCGAACCGGCGCCGCAGAGGCTGTAGGGCAGCTTCCCAACCCAGTGCTCAACCGCTGCGCCACCGGGGAGGCCCCTCGCCTTTTTAAATTTTTATAAATATTTGTATATGCTTAAACAGTCATGCAAGAGTTAATTGTTAAGAATTCCGTTTTGCTGCTAATAGACACCTGACTTAAATAGCTTAAACTATAGTACACATTTATTTCTCATGTAGAAAGTCTTGAATGGGTAGTGTAGGGATGCTATAGTGGCTTTATCAGCACATGTCATCATTTATTTCTTATTTTTCTGGTCTTATTTTGAATTTGTTTAATGATCTAACATTACTGCTGGTGTTTCATTCACATGTCAGTTTCAAGCTGTAGGAACAGGTATCTCTAGGGTAAGCCAAAAGCACCTTGCCCTAAATTCTATTCATTGACTTTCGCTTCCATCTTGTTAGTGCTCTCCATTTGAAAAGAATGTTAACAGATTTTTTTTTTTTTTTGTATTATTCCCTTGATAAATGTATAGCTGATTCTGTTAGGAAGGAAGGAAGGAAGAAAACAAGTATGGATATTGTGGAGGAACCAGGCTTTTTTTTTTTTTTTTTAACCACTTACAACAAAAAATAGCCGTCATACTGTCCCTTTCTTTTCCATATATTCCCCAGAGGCAAGCATTTGCAGCCCTTTTA